GAAATCACTTTTACTGCTACAAAGGAGTTTGAGGAAGAAGATACTGATTATCAATCTTTCACATGCAAATGTTGATTAGTTTTACATTTGTTTGGGAAATTAAGCATTTAAAAAAAGCTTAAGGGGAGACAGGACACATGTCACATGACTCAATTGACTACGTCATAGTCACCGTTAATGTTGGTGTTAAACGTTGTTATCACCTGTATTTGTATAATTTTTGTTCAACTTGTTGAGATTAAACATTTTATGTAAAATATTTAAGAATTTTAAACGACCATGTAAATATTAAAAATTGTGAAATCGATTAATCCACCCCTCTGTTTTTTACACTGCAGTCTAACATGTCCGTGACGTCATATATGATCTCTCAGTGCAGTGAGATCAAGTACAATTTGATTACCTGGGTCAGTTTTAAAACATTGAAACAGATTACAGTCATTGCATCGTGATAAATCTGATAAAGCAGGAATTACAATAATAAATATTACGTGTTTGGTAGCAGAGATTATCTGAATTAATATTCCATTTCGCTTGTGTAAGTTTTCGTGTGACGTCACAGTTGTTTCCCGTACTCGTAAAATGTAAACATGAAGCGTTTTTACCACGCTTATGACTTGTTCAACTATGTCCTGTGTAATAATGAGATAAGCTTCACCTTACGATATTGCTACAGTTAATTACTACGAAGAAAGACCTCAGTTCAAGTGTAAATTTTGAAATATTTATTGACAGAATTTTTTCCCAAGTGCGTTTTTGTCCTTGAAGCCGTCTTGAAAAGTGCGTAATTTATCCCGTCCATATACATTGTGAAATATGAAAAAATGCCGTAAGAATTCTAAACACTTTATATTCTGAATATTTGAAGAGCTGCATATCCTTATACATATTTTTTGTTTGCGTTTAAAAATTCCCATTATAGACTCAATAATGGACCCGTAAACACGAAGAACCAAAACTTAATACAGACACTGTACGGAGCGATATTTGTATGGCGATATCTCTTAAACAAGTCAAGAAAAGTGATGACAGAATTGCTTGAAGATATGTAGGACATACTAAATTAAAAACATACAAAATATGAAAAAAATTCATTGACTAAATTTTTTTCAGCACAAGGTCCTGTTTCTCCTTAAACAAAAAAGTTGGTTTCAACCTACATGTATTCGCATAATTCAGTTTAAACATTTTATTTCATAGTTTGAATAACTTGTTCACTAAAATTACCAAGATATTCTTTACGGGAAATTATGAATTTGCAAGCTGTCTATTACATACATTTGTAGCTCAAATAGTCCACTAAAATAATGAAAATTTTCTTCAAAGGAAGTTAAAAACTTACAAGCAGTCTATTTCTTAACTAGATAAATTTTTAAGATAATGAAGTTACTGTTCAGTGATTGGAGATTCAAAAAGTAACATTTGTGAAATAGCTATTTTGTTTTTATAATCTATATATTACTCTGCTGAACACCATCCATATTTTTATTTAAGGATGTCCTTATTTAAGAAAAAACCAAAAGGCGAAAAGTGTGATATTTAGTGCTTGCTTTCACTATTTACAAAATGTCCTCCAGTCAAACCTTTTATCACCTGTTACGAAGAATGTATATTTCATCTTTTCATTTATGATACTAGTATGTCACCTGTCAGCTTTGAGAAAAGCTTGGTCAGAACATTTAATATTAAAATTATCTACTACATTTTAATTTCTATGCAAATTGTACAACAATAAATTTAAAAATTCTACTTAAAAAAAAATAATTCGCAGGATTTACTAGAAATAACATTGATGATAAACGACTTTTTGTGGTGGGAAAGATATTTTGAGGAAACTTTGGTTCTTTCAATATGTTAAAACTTTGGCCCTGTACATTTTTACTCATTGAACTCTTTACGGTTTTATACACATGTACAATGAATATTCATTGCAAATTTCGATGTATATTTTTAGAACAAATCTTACATATCTTACACATTTTTTTTTTCAGACATTGTCAAAAGTTGCAGATTAAATTAATCTTGTTTCTATCCCAAAATGTGACCCATATCTTACAATTAACATCACTGACCCGAACTTTTTTTTAAATTTCATATTAATTGGTCAACAATAAATTCATTAACAAGAGGCCCAAGGGCCTTAACGGTCTCCTGAGGATAATACAACAATTTTGAGATCCATAGAGTTTAAAATAAGTTGATAAGTTAAGCTTTGTTGCCCAAAAGCAAGAGAAATAGGATGATCAGGGTCAATGAAATAATTAATCTAGTGTTCAGTGTAACAACTTATAAATTAAGTTCTAATCTGTCCCCATTTATCATTATCACCATGCAGACTTTTAACAAAATATCAGTACTTCCTTCAGTACTACATGTGTATTTTAACCCCCATATTGTAACCTCTTACATTGGCCTCTCTTGGTCTTAGAAGAACATTTAATAAAATAAGTTATTTTTGTCTCATTTTTATTTATCTACTTTTTACAAGTCTACCTGATCATTAAAACTATGGAAGTACTTTTTGTATTATTTAATAAAAATTCTTACATAATTCTCTTATTCTATTAACCTTTCAAATACATTACTACAATGATTAATTATCAAAAGTAAATGGCAAAGGGTAATAATTTCTCTCAGTAGAATACAAATTAATAGAGCCCTGGCCAGGACAAGAACACTTGACAAAATGGTAGAGATGTTCAAAAATCCGGCAAAAATACCCTTGCTTATTAAAACTTTTATTGTTTTTGCCTCCGATATGCCCAGGAGCAGAGATGATTTTCAAAGAAATAAATAAATGCATTTTCACTATAGATTCAAAACAGCTCTACCCTAACACCAGAACCCATGACCCAGGGTCATAAAATTTACAAATTTGGAAAAGAAACCCTCATCATCATAACTATGCATTCAAAGATTTTCAAAGAATAAATAGATTTTTCACTATATTATCACTATATTATCAATAGAGCAACACCCCCCTCCCCCCGAGAAACACCAGAACCTCTGACCCTTGGACCACAAACAAGTTTTAAAAATATAACTATGCACTTTGTTTATCTGCTCAACACTATAGAGTAGACAGGATTATTTAATAAAATTAATGCATTTTCACTATATTATCAATAGAGCCCCACCCTTACACCAGAACATTTGACCCAAGGGCCATGTTACTCACAATTCTGAAAGAAGCATTTTTGCTCATCATAACTATACACTTAGTTTCTTTGCGTTATAAGCAGGGGCATAAAGAATATTTTCAAAGAAATTATAATTATGCTTTTTCACTACATAATCAATAGAGCCCCCCTTTTTTCACCAAAACCCCGACCCCGGGGCCATGAATTTCACAATTTTGGAAGAAGCATCCTTGCTTATCATAACCATGCTCTTAGTTTGTTTAAATAATACCAAGGAGCAGAGAAGAAGATTTTCAAAGAATTAATGCATTTTCACTATACAATCAATAGAGCCCCACCCCATCAACAGTACCCCTGACCCAGGGGCCCTGAAATTCACAAGTTTGGAAGAGGTAGCCTTGCTCATCATAACTATGCATTTAGTTTGTTTGCTTTATACCCAGAATCAGAAAAGATTTTAAAAGAAATAATGCCTTTTAACTATATAATCAAAAGAGTCCCCTCCCACAAAACGAGAACCCCTTACGGAAAGGAACATGAAATTCAAAAATTTGGAAGATGCTCCCCTGCTCATCATAATCATGCACTTAGTACATGTGTTTGTCTTCCAAATACACAGAAGCAAAAAAGGATTTTCAAAGAAATAATACAATTTCACTGTATAATCAATAGAGCCCCACCCTAACAGCAAATCCCCTGACCTAGGGGCCATGATATTCAAAAAGGAGCCTTGTTCATCATAAACATGCATGTAGTACATCTACCAAATACTCGGGAGCAAAGAAGAAGATTTTAAAAGAAATAATACATTTTCCTATATAATCAATAGAGCCCCCCCCCCCTTCCTCCAGACCCCCTGACCCAGGGGCCAGGATATTCATAAATTTTACAAGAGGCACCTTTGCTCATCATAACCACGCACATAATCTCTTTGTTTAATATATAGGGGGAGAGAAGCTTTTTAAATTATAATATATGCAATTTTACTATGTGATCAATAGAACCTCACCCTAACTCCCGAACTCCTGATCCTTTCACAATTTAGGTAAACGACTCATTGTATGTTATTATCATGAAAACAGTTTGACTGCTTGATGTTTAGGAGTAGAGAAGATTTTTGAAAATTGCATTAATTTTTGTGGATTTGGTCCCACTCCTCGGGCCCCAGGGGGGGGGGCAGTTATCATAAAATTCACATTTTTTGTCCCCCTTTGCCTAAAGATGCTCTTTACCAAAATATGTTGAAATTGGTTAAGCGGTTCCAGAGAAGAACCTGAAAATGTTCAAAAGTTTACGACGGACGAACAACGCACCTGAGTGACTCAGGTGACCTAAAAAAGCTTGATTCGTTTATTTTTATTTTTATTTATTTATTTATTTATTTATTTTTTTTTTTTGCCTTTCAAGATTTCTTATACACAAAATATTATATTTTTTTTTTATTACACCATAACTTAACCACATAAATGGGCAACATTTTTTAAAAGATATGTTTTGACATAACGTTAATAATGTTGTGCCATAACAGGAAATTTTTTAAATATGCTTTAAAAATATAAAATATTCCCTCAACTCCCCTAAGAACCTCATCATCTACTTTGTTTTTTCATAAAATCATTCCACTGATAACCAATTGAATTTTACAAATCGGTAGAAAATATTTATCTACATGTACAAACTAAATGCATTTTTGTATTGAAAACACCCCTTTTTATAACAATGAGCACGCCCTTATCAAGATATTTCTTATAAGATGGACACGACTCAAATCCATTTTCATAAATGATTTACATGGTAAATTGGATGATCGCAATGCCCATTTTCAGAGACATTTGATGTGAGACTAATGTAAGAAAGCTTGCAGAACTATCCAATATGTTGAAATTGTTTGTACGTTTTCAAATGATATGGTTATTCATTCCATTTATCAAAGGTAGGATTTAATCAATTTTATTTTCCTAATGATGTTTCAAACTGGTGAAAAAAAAATTTAAAATTGAATGGGACTTCCCAATATTTTATAGTGTATTTGTACTTTTTAATGCAACTTGATAAATAAAATATTGGTTCATTGAATAACCTAGTTTGGAGCAGTTTACTCTTTATAAACCGTGAAGCGGTACCGGTTTAAACGAAAGCCAAAACTGGTCAAAACAAGGCTATACAAGTAAATGATTCCTTCATACCTGTCGCGTATCATGAGGATCTATAAAATAAGACAGAATAAAGAAAGAACTTTATAATTTTAACAACTGCTAGAATTGCAACGCTTATATTAGAAGCAAGGTCCTGTCAAGACCATCATCTTTTTCCTTAACGTTTAGAATAAAAAAAAATACTGTTGTCAAAATCTATTTTAAAAAATTTGTTACTTTTTCTTTTTGCATAAAATATCTTACCATATAGGATATATCAAATAATACAACCTATATATATATATATATATATATATATATATATATATATATATATATATATATATATATATATATATATATCTATATCTATATATATATATATATATATATATATATATATATATATATATATATATATATAAAATTATGATTGAATTCTCTCTGATTGGATGAGATCCAACAATGTTAGAAAAATACTACGTTATATTGACCAGGTCAATATCAGGAATTATTTATTCTACATTGGACCAAAAATAGATAGGAAAATTCCAAATTAATGAAAATAGTTTTGGAAAGTTATTTTATTTGCACCTGACATCCACTCATATGAACATAACATTAAGGCACATAGATTCTTGGGTGAGGGGTCGGGGGGGGGGGGGTTGCAGGAGGCCTGCCCCTCTCCCCACCTTTTGAGAATGTGAAGTTTTAATTTAAATTTTAAGGATAAAAAATTTCAATGAAAGCCCCCTCCCCTCGAAAAGTTTATGGACCTTTACATCCCACCAAATAAAATTTTTATTTGGGAGAATTCTTTTCCTTTTTTATGGGGGGGGGGGGGGGGGGGGCTAGTCAAAAATTAGTTTTCAGGTAAGTTGTCTTTTCTTTCCTTTTTAATGCCCCTTTTTTTTCAAAATTAATCCTATATATGTGTCTGACAATTATTTTTTCTACATTGCACCTAAACTAGAGTTAAAAATTCCAAAATAATACAACTGTTTTTTAAGCCCGTTTCCCTCATTATGTTCAGCTAGTACATAAGTCGATGTGAAAAAGTAAGATGGCACGGATTGCTTAATAAGTGTGTGTCATTTTATCATTGAATCATATAATAAAACAATTATTGCTGTTTTTTCGGTCAATACGATGATTTAGCCACCTTCGAAGTACAATATTCACCTCGGCCTTCGGGCTCGGTGAAAATTGTACTCCTCAGGTGTATAAATCATCGTATTGACCTCAAAAACCAGCAATAATAGAATAATATATAAAAGAAATAATTTAGCTAAATGAAAAAGTTAAAGATAAGGAAAAGTAATCGATTTCGAAAAATCTATAAACAAAATAAATCTATGAAGAAGACAGACAAACGGACCCTTGGAAATTCAAGAGGTGGGATCAGGTGCCAGGGAGGGGTAAGCATCTCCTGTTGCCGGTTACATCTGCCGTGAGCCCTATGTATTGATCAGTTAGACGGAAAATTCCGTAGTCAAATTCAGTATAAAAACAAAGTTCTTACAATTGATATGAAACAAATCAGCCAAGTTACCCTAAAGTCAGCTAAAATAGAAATTGGCAACCCGAATTTCCTCTTTTCTATAATTGTTTTAGGGAATTTAAGTAATTTCTATATGCTTTGTACATTAAAATTTTTCTTATGTGGTGAAGTAGTCGTATAAAGATACAATACGATGCAAACGCAAAAAGTTTTGACCGGTTATTAAGAGAATAAAAACACCAACTTTTACTGGTTTTCTGCTCAATTTTGTTTTTTGATTGGAAGCTTTCAAAAGCTAACTAGATTGTAGTTTGTTTACAAAAAATATTTGATTGTATATTTTAAAACTTTAGTCCAAAGTTATTAATTTCAATCACTTCAGAAAATATCTGTTAGTCTTTGATTGTTTAAAAGAAATGACAAAATTTATTTTGAGAAGTAGAAAAGAAGATATTTTCAAATGCCGCATTTCAACCAAAAATATAGCCCCTGCTAGATTTCAAACTCAGTTCACTACTCCGTTTAAAGTTGTAAACTTATGAGAAAGAAAGAGAAATATAATCTTTTAAATACTTTAGATCAACAAATATGTCATAGAAACAAATAAACTTTGAAATTTTAATTCGCTTAGAAAACAAAAAAATTCCCTCAAGGAGAATTAAACAGCAAACTCTTATTATTTAATTTTTAAATTTTACGCACGTACCTTAATTTTAAGTCTAACTAGAATTTAAAGTACTTAAAAATATATCATATATGTTCAAAATTTAAATGTACTCTTAAAGCATTGTAATTATTGAAAATCGGTCATTCTAGTAAGTTAAAGATGCTTATTTACTTCATACTAAACTCAAAATTGTAATTATATTGTCATGAAAAAGTCTTACATTATGTTTTCAATTTAGACTATTTTTTTAAAATTTTTGCCATGAAAGACGTATACAGATTCGAAAGAGATTATTTTAAGTCATCAAATAGATATTAATATATATGTCAATGAAGCACTTTAAACTCTATAAACTGCCACTACATGTATATGCACAGTGTTGTTGACACAAATAATGGACTTCGGGAAGGTTGTCTTTTACAGTCGACGGCTTACTTTGAGATTTAAATCTGCGTTATGTACGATGGCACAGAATCGATAATAGATAAGAACACCTTAATAGTGATTATAAGTATGGGGATAGAAGCAATAAACAAACAAAAAAAGATAATGGAATGCAGGGTAACATAGCTTAAAATATCTTATTCTTAAGAGATAGTATCTCCCTTTCAATCTTATTTTCTAAAAAAAAAAAAAAAAAAGGAAAAAAAAAAAAAGGAAAAAACAATCCGAAAGGAAAACTTGGCAGGATTGGTGGAGGTGGGAAGGAGAGAGGGTTTGGGGAAAAAGTGGATTCTTTTCCTTCCTAGACAACGTAATATTGCTTTGAAACGACTCAATATTATCTTTTAATCAACTATTATTCTATAAATTTTTATATCACAAAGGAGTCTAGCGCTCGCTCCGTGATCGGAAGGTCGCGACTAACCTAAGTCGTAAAAAAAGGTAGCAACTAATCCTTCGCCAAGCGCTAGGCACTTTGAAGTGGAAGTTAAGGCTCCTTTGTATGGGACCTTAAAAACCGAGGCCCTATGCCACGACAGGCGTTGGCACGATAAAGATTCCTCACTGCTCAATGGCCCTGAGTGCCAAGTACAGATCTAAATTTGAAATCATTCACCGGTATATAGTGATGTCTCTATTTGAGTGAAAAAATCTCGATTGGGACGTAAAACAACATTTAATCATTCAATAAATCACAAAAGAATTTTTGTATATTTTCCTAGTATAAAATTAAGCCACTGACGTCAACACTTCACGAAAAAGTCCAGTAAGCACATTTATTTTCCTTCTAAGGAGTTATAAACCACGTAGCAAAAAGCTAAGCATCAAATATTCAACCTCACAGATGAGAACTAAATCACTAATATATGATGTCGTATGAATATATTTATGTAAATTTTTCGTTTATTTCCTATTATGTTTTTATTTCCTTATGTAACCAGTGCATTACAAAAGATGTATGACGTTCCCTCCTTTTAAATACGTGCACCTCAGTTTCACCCATGGCAGAGAGTGAAAGAAAAGAAGTTTAGCATCATTCCTATCTGTCCTCTAAGTTTTCTTTGAAATTTGACAGGTTGTAATATTTAGTCCTAAAACCATCGTCACAAACCATGGTTTTGAGTCCACAAGCTATATACCTCAAATGATGATAGAGAGAATCGATGTGAATCACCCGTGGGTTACCGACGATGTCCTAAAACAAGTATAATAATAATACATAGATTAATAAAGCGCAAAATATAATTCTAATAATTACTCTAAAGCGCCTTACAATAAAATGTAGATTTGATAAACATAATTAAAGAACAATGAAATCAAATCAACATACATATATAAAAATGATATTATGTTTAAAATCAATGATAACGAACAGAAATCAAGCTCAAATATACAGCAATGTACATTGAAACAATACAAATCGGGAGCAGAGCAAACACAGACCTCTAAAAACATCAGAAGTGGGATCAAGTGCCATTGAGGAGTAAACATCCCATGTTGTATTTGCTGATAAGGTCATTGTATCGACCATATATCTTGCTAAATGTTGACTTTAAACGATACTGTTGATATCTTTGTTTCGTCTATTTGTCAATAGTTTGCCTCATTTTAGAAATTATTCGTACTTAGAACATGCTCTAGCGTATCCAATCAACTAGGAGATTTAAACTCCATACGATGGTGGTAAAGGTATATTGCTACAGAAGGAAGGGAAGTTGACCATAGGAAAGTTAAAATCATCATGTTTTTCATAAAGTTTTGTTGTTAGGTTACGTAAATGTTGTCTTTGAGGAACTCCAGCATCAATAATTTATAGTTCAAGAACGTGGATCTTGAATAATTTTTGGATAAATTCTGCTTCGCATGAATAAAAACATAGGAGTGCTAATAACAGGGCGCAATTGGTACCCAGTGAAATTCCGAGAAATTGTTGGAGGCCATGATCTCCAAAATCTACATACATTCAAATCAAAACTCGAGCATGTTTTTAACATCAACTTCGGAGTACTCGTGCGTATAATCAAAATTTTTTTAATGACACAAATTACATGCATGCATTTCTGTTTTCTAAAAATGCTGTGAAATTAGGAATGAACTGAGAGATTTTTTTTTCTTTAGAAAGATTACCTTGATCTATAAAAATATTATATGAGATTTAAGATAAAAGCACCGAAGTAATATCTTTCTTGTGTTCTGACACAAATGGCGGTGGTGATAAATTTTATCAATGCGCTGACGCGTGACATTTAATCCGCTGTATGAAATAATGCATGTGCAAATGTAACTAATTACTTGAATGGATTTGATTTGTTGAGATGCAGACGAACAACCATTTTATTTCACCGTCATTTTAAATATCACTTAGAAAGCCCTTTATATATTAAATATGAAATAATATATATTTTTACAGATTCACTTTATGGAAGTAAATATATTGTGTATCTCGTAATTTATAAAGGGAAAGAACATTCTGATTAACAATATTTTTAATGTTTAGAAAACCTTTAATTCTGAATAACTTCTCCCACCTCAATCCCCATATACAAACAGTTAAACTTATATGTATAGAGCAGCCCGGGCTGCAATAAAGATTGAAAAAGGTTTTAACAACCGTAAGCTCTATTTTAGCACCTTCTTAGCTCAAGAACAATGATCACAGTAATTATCAGTAAATCTCAGCATCGACAGCACATCAACAGTATTTATCAGACTCAACGGTAAAGACGACAGTAATTATCAGTATTTATCAGAAACAACTAAAATTATCAGTAACAACAGTAAGAATAACAGTAAATATCAGTATATATCAGCAAGAACAGCACCGTATCAGTAATTATCAAACATTATCAGTAAAATTTGGGACTCTCAGCACTTTTTTCGTCCAGTAGTGCTTGTGTCATGAAGTGCATATATGATATAGAAATAAATTCCCTTCTGTTTTTTTTTTTAATAAGGGGAGTGCATTTCGAAAGGAGACATTGTTTTTCTACTAGACGAATCTGGCAGTATTGGATCGCTCAACTTTGAACGAATCAAGACATTCGTCAGCTCTGTTGTCGGTCACTTCAAAGTAGGAAGCAATGCTAATCAATTCAGTGTAGTCAACTTTGCGTCGTCTTCTAGAGAGATATTTTCACTCAACAGATATCACACAGTAGCTGATATTCAATCTGCTATAGCTTCTATTTCATTCAAAAGCGGCGGAACAAGCATAGGAAGTGCCCTTGATTATGCCCGAATGTACTCCTTTAGTTCCTCCAGAGGAGCAAGAAGTGATTCAGCAAAAGTTGCTGTTCTAATCACCGACGGGCAAAGTTCTCTTTCCAACGAGCCCGACCAACTAAAAGGAATCGGGGTCACGATATTTTGTGTCGGGGTAGGAACTGGAATAAATTCAGTTGTTCTGAGATCGGTGGCCACTCACAACGACTACACGTATCTTACTACATTTGATCTATTGCCTTTGTTAACGAACGAATTGTCCAACGAAACCTGTGGAGATGGTGTGTAATGTTTTATACTTCTTTATTGCATTTTTTTCTCTTTGCTTAAAGGTGGTTTTATGAAGATTTCTGTGATGCAATCTTTAAAAAAATGCTTTAAAAAAGGTATTTTTATGAAAGCCGACGTAGAGAGTTTTTAAAAATAAAATAATGAAACAAAGTATGAACATGTAACACAGGACGCCCTATTATTAATGGCTTTCATTAATGACAATTTAATTTTTCTTGTAGACATAAACGATTGCTTAAGTGAGCCTTGTCTTAATGGGGGGACATGCGAAGATCAGTTCGGGAAGTATGTGTGTCACTGTCTGGCCGGAAATACAGACCCTAGCTGCTATGTCCCGGGTAAGTTAGGAGTACGGTTACAACCGTTGTAACCACTCTAACCCCCCCTGTCCTAAAACCAATAAAATTTTATTCAAGCAATACACAAACTCAATAAATTTGTCTCTCAGTCAAATGGAGACTGAAGACTTTAATAAACATTGCGTATATTAAAGGGGCATGGACACAAATTTGAAGTAAACATTTTCGGAAATTTTCAGTATAATATAATGTCTTTTATTTTGTTAGAACATTTCACACCGAAGTATAATAAAAGCGTTTTTTAGAAATTTCTATTATCTAGAAATTATTAAAGCTACGAATTTTGGGACGTGATTGATAGACACATATCCTTGCACTTTCACGACGTATATCCTTTATCCTTCATACTAAAAAAGTAGAAATTTTGTTGTGTATCTAAGAAAAAAATAAAAATTATAATTCTGAAAATTCAGAGAAGAACCGTGAAAAGCATCAACTCACAAGTAGTGTCAGTCCGTGCTCAGAGCATACATATTGAACACACCCGGTTAACGTAAACAACAACAATAATGGCAATAACGGAGCTCAAGCCCTGCTTAAAAATACAAATGTTTGACGCTATGTTATGAAGAATGTCATTGTCGTTGAATTCGAGGAATATTTATGTAACTTCAGTTGAATAAACTGAAGTTATTTTTTGAGAAAAAAAAAAAATAGAAATTAGAATTGTAAGTTTAACTGTGTCCAGGTCCCTTTAAAGTTTTTACTTTGTTTTATGTCGTTTTGTTTTTATTTTGTTATTTTTTCCTTTTGTATGGTATTTTTTTAAGTGGGGAGGGATGCGTTTTGGATTCGTTTTGCTTGTCATTTAAAAGAAACTTGAGCAGCCTAATACATTTTCACAAATTTCGTGAAATATCCTATAATTTTCATAAATTTATTGGTCTCAATACAAAAATACCTCCTTAATTTACTTATTTATATAGTTATAATCTGTAATTATGACAATCTTATCAAGATTAAATTATGGTCGAAAGATATTTTGGTTTAAGTTTTATAAATGTTTAATTTTAGAAGACAAATCATTGAAACATAAATGAAAACGACTCCGTTGTATTACATCAAACTTTTCAAAGGAAAATTTACACTTCTTTTGTATTCTAGCGCTCGCTCCGTGATAATAAGGTCGTGAGTTCGAATCACGGTCGCGACTCGCCTAAGTCGATAAAAAAACAGGTAGCAACTGTTCCTTCGCCAAGCGCTGCACTTTGGAATGAACGTGGCTGGTCTTTCGGGTGAGACCTTAAAAACTGAGGCCTCCTGTCACGGTAGGCGTTGGCACAATAAAGAACCTTCACTGCTGAATGGCCCTGAGTGCTGAATAAAGCTCTTAATTTAAAGCCCCTCACTGGTATATGGTGACGTCTCTATATGAGTGAAAAAATCTCGAACGGGTCGTAAAACAACACACAATCAATCTTTTGTATTCTTATGATAACGCTCAAACTTACGGATTTGTTGATTCTATTATAGATAGATTTGTTGATGATGCATTAGTGCATTTTCTTTTATTCTATTTCTGTTCACCTTAAGAGATGTGACATTTAATTTATTTTGTTATTATATATTAACTATGAGGTTTGCAAAGAGGAAAAGTACATTTATATGCCAATTATTTTTTTTTCAATATACAGATTTACGAACATCTTTTTGTTTATAGGTTTACCAAATGTAACGTTGGGATCCAGTCTAACAGTACATGTTGGAGCTTCAGCCATACTCATTTGTAACGTCACAAGCACATCAAATGTATCTTCTGTTACATGGCACTACCAGAAAAAAGGCATCACAGTCACAATCAATACTCGAAATACAAACAAATATAGCGGCGGTACTGTAGGTATGCCTTCTCTTACAGTAAAGAATGTTCAGATTGAAGATATAGGAAACTACAGATGTTTGGCCCAGAACTCAGCAGGAATAGGCCAAAGCGCAAAAATGATCTTTCTAGATTTAAAGCGAGGTACATATTTTTCATTTTCTTTTATCCGTATTAGAAAACTTTTATGGATTTACAGTGGGATACATAAAAATTTGTCTTTTGTGTAAGTATACAAGTTTCTAGTTCACTATTTATTGCACCATTATATATATATATATATATATATATATATATATATATATATATATATATATATATATATATATATATATATATATATATATATATATATATATATATATATACACACTGTATATATATCAGATGATAATATGCATGTATTACAAGATAGATCAGGAGAACAAAATTTTTTACACACTACATTCAGTAAAGAAATAATAAATGCAATGCAGTCTTATACATGTAGTGGTACTTGAAGAGGCAAATTTTTATTTCAATATAATGATAATGAGATTTTTTTTAGGTTTGCCTGTGATCTACATGCAAAGAAGAAGTTACCCTGTCAATGCTAGCAATAGTGTGTCCCTGTCTTGCAATTTTTCCTCCAGTTACCCTCCTGTTGTTGAGGTTAATTGGTACAAAGATGATGCACGAATTAATTCGGTGTCCAATGGTAAATACTCCGGCGGGACAATTCCTTTTCCAAACCTCAACATTTCAAATATCCAGGAAAAAGACCAGGGTTACTACCACTGTTCAGTGTATAACCACTATGGCACCAGAAATAGCTCGGACATAGCAGTGTACTTATTTGGAGGTACTCGTATGACGTTTTAGATGTTAATACATGTACTTAGACTACTTTATAACACCTCTACTGGTTTTTCTCTATATACATGTAAAAGTAGATCGTTGGATAATAAATAATTTCTTAGAAGCTGCTAAAATGGACTAAAATGGACTTATTCTCGTTTTGCCATACATTAGTCAAGTGAGCTAATCCCTGCTTCAATATAATAAAACGGTTAAGAAGTGTATCATTTAAGAAATGTGCAAGATTCCAGTTCTCCACCAGGACTATTGCCTCACTCCATGGTATACACTATCTGTGAATTGATGCTTCATCATTCGTACGTTTTTAGAAAATATATCACATTTTTATGGAATTCATAAAATTCATAAGTTTGTTTTAAAGTTTCAAGACTGATAATTTTGCATACGTTGACCATATGATTGAAAGTTTTTTTCTGATAGCATACAGTACATTACATGTAAACAAAAGCTTCATGACCAAAAATGACACCCTTCTTTTGAAAACGACATACTACCATTCCAGGTAGCACACACTTGTTCTTTAAATATATACTTAATACTTCGATATTTATATAACAAGAGTTTTTTTACATTGCCAATTTTCTGTTAAAGCAACTTAAGTTCATATTTTTCACACGATATTTTATATTATAAAGTTTATAGCAAGTAGAAATAATATGATGTTTGTAAATAAGAAAAATGTACAATTTATGTTGGCTTGATTCCCAATATTTCATTTTTTTTATTTGAAGATGTACCAGCAGTACTAGTGGGACCAAATATCACTACAGGCTTTTGGCACACTGTCAATATTCCTTGTAAAGTGTTTGGTTCCGGTGTAACAAGAGTTTTCTGGAGAGTGCAACTACAGGGCAAGGAAAACGAAACAGAAATAGACGTGTCCTCTTATAAATATTATGGTTCCTATATATATTACCCGTCTTTGACAATTTACAAGTTTAGCTCATCAGACATTGGCAACTACAGATGTTATGCAAACAGTTCTAACGGTGTTGGTTTCAGTAGACCAGTCAATGTCAAAATACCTGATGGTAAGAGTTTTATCCCCCCTCTCTCTATCTCTCTCTGATTTGTGAGTTGATTCGCTACACCATGGAAGTCTACGTAAGGATTGTCCCACAATTTCAATTCTTATGGCAGATTCGATAACCAAAAATAAATAAAGTTCACAAGCCTTATCAAATTAATGCTTAAGAAACTGAAATATTTTTTTTAATTTCTCGACGCTTTTAAAATTTTTATGGAAACCAGTTGTTAGAAAAACTTTAATAAAAAACGAAATCTTGAAAGAACTGTACAAAATTAATGTTTGAAACCAAGAAAAATTAACAAAAATAAACATTTAAGCATTACTTTGTGAAATGTGCAAAATTAAATCCCAGAAAACTATGTTCATTAAATATTTATGAAGTAATACTTTTAGAAAATAATGGAAATTATAAGAACAGTTAAATTTGGGACAGGAAAACTTTTACTAAAAATTATTCTTCTTTCTTTTACCCAGACTCAAATATCTTAATATAGTTGTTTGAACTACTGCAATTTTTAATTGCATAATATATTTATAAATCTAAATTAAATTCATTTCAATTCAAATTTTTTCTCAAAGATAAAATAAGTAAATTATTGTAAATTGTAAAGACTTAGCAAAAAAAATTAAAAGCTTTCCAAGAAATTTTAATAGCAAGAAGGGGGATATTTGATATTTTATAATCTACACGTTCATTTCAGATACCTGCATTTATTGCGTGTAAGGATAAATGTTCAAAAGATGTTCCACAATTTTTGCTTCATCAAACAAATTCAGGAAATTTATTATGGTAAATAGCTAGAACGTGTTTAATAATATTGAATGACGTCAATTAAAATTTTAACGATTTTTTTTTTTTTTTTTTTTTTTTTTTTTTTTTTTTTTTTGTTGCTTTAAGGTCGTTACATTGTTCTGAACTCAACCAGCTACACTGTTAACAAGAGTGATGATGTCATACTTTCCGTATTTGTTTACGCCTCTCCAGATCTTTTAAGTTTGTCGTGGCAGAAGAGTTCTTTTTACTACTATAATTTTAATAGCTTGAATACGACATCAGATCACAAATACAACGGTGGTACACTTGATTCTCCGTCTCTCATCATTCGTAACATCAGCACAGAGGATTATGGGTATTATCGTCTAAATGTGTCTAACGCCGACGGCACAACCAGAAGTTCGAGTATTTACTTAAATGTTATTGTTCGTAAGTAACAAATGTAAAGTTCGTTTTTTTCTTAAAGCCAACCATACCATAGAAACATATTTCTGTGAGGTTTTGGATTTTAAAAGTCTTTTAAATACTAGTATTTCAATCTGAATGTTTTTTTAAAGGCTTACCTATTATAACAACTAAGCAGAGATACTTTTACAACGTCTATTCGGAAACTAATCTCACTTTTGAGGTTAACATCACATCTGAGATACCCATGGTTTCGATCAGCTGGGAGAAACGCAGCTACTACCCATACACGTATTCCTTGATTGATGTAATGGACAACAGATTCTCTGGTGGAACGATGAATGCCCCTTCACTGACAATAAACAGTGTCCGAGGGGTAGATGCAGGTTATTTTAGGTTCAACGCTACAAATGTAGATGGCACAAAGAGCACGACGTTTTATTTACGTCTGTATTTCCGTACGTTTACTGCCTATTCTTACTTCTTCTTTTTTACTCCATAACCCCTTATGTTTAATTCGGATCAGTTACGCAGTGAATGTTACAGAGTATCGGTCTCTGTTTTTGAAATGTTGTTGCTTTTAAAAGAATATTTTCGAGACGTTTGCCTTCAAATATCTTCAATTCCTATTAGAACAAGGAAATTCTCTATGAACTCTGTAGGATTACTATTGGAACGAGTGTATTCTCCAATAATTATGAGGGGACATATTTCTGATTTTGAATCTGATATTTTTCAGGTTTGCCGTCAATTTCTGTCGGAGTAAGAAATGTTTACGTGAATTCTGGTGAAAATGTTACATTTGAAGTCAATATCACATCATTATCAACTTTATTATTGGTAACCTGGGAAAAGAGAAATTTCTCTTACCCGTACAATTACTACCAACTAAATACGAGCAATTACCAAAGATTTGATGGTGGCGAATTAGGATCACCTAATTTATTTATTAAAACTGTATTAGTTCAAGACAATGGATATTACAGGTGTGCAGCAGAAAACAGTGACGGGGTTAGATACAGCCCTAGAATTTATTTATCTGTCACGCCCAGTACGTATTCATGCATATCTATCTTATTTTTTTTAATTTAAATAATTGAACTCTTTTGTGTGGCTCTTTACTTTTTAAACCAAATACCTTATTGTTTTGATTTCAAAGTTTATTTTTCGACTGTTGTGGAAAAAAAATTGTTGCTGTTCACCAAAACTCAAGACAATTAATAATATTAGTAGCTCTTTTCGCAAAAAATCTTATGATTAATATTCATCGTAAGAATTTTTGTGGAAAGGAATAAAATTCGTTATATTTCTCTTATTAAAATTAATCGTAAGATTTTTTTGTGAAAAGGGCTACTGGTAAGTAAAATCTAAAGTTCAAACTTCAACGAATGCATTCGTGAATAGTACTAAAATTTTCGTAAGAAATTCTCAAATTAAAATATTACTCAAAGACTAGATTTTTTTTTGAAAAGGGTTATAAAATCTTTGCTTTTATACACATAATATACAAATATATAAAGAGGAATGAAATGGATTATTCAATGCCAAAAAAGGTGAAAAAATACAATCTACTAGAAGTAGATTGTAAAGTAGGGAAAAAATCTGTATTATGAATTTTTGAGATTGAGAAAAAATGTTTATCTAAATTCAGGTCCGCCATCCATTACCATTAAGTCGAAATATAGTGTTTATACCGGTGGAAACATCACTCTTAAAACAAATGTAACATCTTTCCTACCAATCACTAACGTTACCTGGGAAAGAAGAAACACTAGCACATACGTCTATGAAGTTGTCAACATACTCTCCGATAATCGTTTTACTGGTGGGGAAATTCTATCACCATCCTTGACGATTATACATGTGGATCTAACGGACGAAACTTATTATCGAGTAAGAGCTACGAACAACGATGGAACAACAACGAGAACAGTTTACGTTGATGTCAACACACGTAGTAACTATATCTTAATAGTACAAATAACCACAGTATTAAGGCCAGACGACACGTTTCTCAAAAATATATAACTTCTCCCAAGAAGTTGTGAATGAAATATTGCTACTTTAACAAGTTTTCTCACAAAAAATTCATTTCCGGGCATTTGTGTAAGTGTCCGGAGGATGGCATTTCCTATATAATTATATACTGGAAATTAGTTGAACTGCTGATATCACTATTTTTGGTTTTTATATTTTTTTCAACATAAAAAATAGTTAAGAAATCAAAAGATAATGAAAATTATAAAGATTTTTGGTACATGACACACAAATGCAAAAACAGATCTTCCAGGAACGTGTCGTCAATAATTAATAACAAAAAAATTAGATTGAATACAAATTAACCTTAAAATTGAAGTAATTTATCAATTATACTTACATCCCATATCAGAATGGTGAATATTCTTACAGGGTAGAGGGGATCTGGAAGGAAATTAAAATGTTAAAGTTGATATTGTGGTTGTATCAGTTAGTTTTCATTATCTGTTAATATTACACACGTAATATGTAATTTAAATTATCTGATGCAGGTCCTCCAATTATCTCAGAAGGTACGACATCATTTGTTTCTTGGAAATGGGTTAAAATTACACTTGATATAAACGTTACCTCAAAGCTACCCATATTGGAAGTGTTATGGGAATATGTGATGAGCCCTTATAGGTATACTTATGTGCCACTCAATATTACATCGGTTTCGAGGTACTCTGGAGGAACAATATCCTCTACATCTCTGACAATATACAACGTCACAAAGGCTGACAATGGATTCTATAGATGTTCCGTGACTAATCGTGATGGAACAACAACGAGCTCCTCCTTTCATATAATTATTAAAACCAGTAAGCAGATAATGAATGAACGATAATGTTTAAGACTTTCTGTCATTTATTACAGTTATTAAAAAATAGTTCTTCTGTGAAAGGTTTTTTTTTCTTCTTCTTGTATATAAAGATACAATAATTTGAAAAGATAAACAACCAGTTACAAACTTACACATCAAGAAATGATGTATAGTGTATATTTGTTATGAAGAATGTTTTACAGGCCTTCCTGTGATATCAGTTGGAAAAACGTCACTTACAGTCAAAACAAGGTCTTACACTATCCTTCACATCAATTATACTTCCGGACCGGAAATGAAGTCAATCAGCTGGGAGAAAAGGAGTATTGCCTATCCCTATACATTTGTTGCAGTAAATATAACTGAAAATGATCGATACGAAGGCGGTACTTTTGATAGACCGAATTTGGAGATTGCTGATGCAGTGCTAGAGGACAGTGGTTATTATCGATGTAACTTTGTCAATACCAATGGAAAGTCAACATCTCCTTTATTTTACGTCAATATCGAAACACGTAATTATTGGCCAAATTTATTCATAGACAATATTTGAAATAACTTTTTGAAGACGAGTGTCATATTGCAATTTTTATATGCAATGTTTCGCTGTAATTATGAAATTAAGGAAATTACAAGTAATTTTTCTATCTACAGCTACTTGGTAAAGAAGAACGTACAGTTTAGGCTTCATTGTGCCCTTAAAATTTAAAATTTTCGAAAAGTTATGAAATTGGCTTAAATATGAGTTGAGTATATGAATATGATATATCATGAAAGAACATGGCATGAAGGAGGACCATTCTTGAAATATGACGTCATTACTTTGGTACATTTTTAAGTTTTAAATAGGAAAAGCCTCAAAATGACTCGTTTCAGGGGTTATTTTCCTTAAGAAACCAGTGTCCTTAGCTGTCGCCCACTTCAATTTTCAGATATGTTGTGAAAAATCCTTTAAAAAAAATCACATTTCTCAAAATCTTTGTAGGCGATGCACGTGCTCTATATTATATGAAAGAAAATTCCACTAAAAATTGATGTCATCTACAACTTTTTAAGAAAATACTGGAAAATACACAAGTTCATGACGTCACAATTAGCATTTATTTAGGAGGTCATATGAGGAAAACGATTTGTATATTCTTACTGCAAGAAATCCCTTTGTTTCAGAAAGGATTAATTTGAATTTCTTACATCACTTCCGTATTTTAGAAAAATACAGGACCAGATTTGTTTTAAAACTGTACCTTGTTCTTTAACAATTAGATATACATTTATTAAATCTTTTATAAGAAGTTTTGTTACTTTGTTGAATGACATTACAAAGCAATTGTTAAAAGTGTTAGGTTCTGGATGAACACATATTCTTTTTTAAAATTATAGCCTATTTTTTCTCATATTTCTTATTTTTTTATATACATTATTTAAAAAATGATAGAAATTTACCTTTCAGAGCTTGCTGTTATAAATGTATCTTTCACATCATACACAGTAAGTCAAGGTGGCAATGTTACCTTGTCTGTGACCCTGTCTGACACAGAGATCAACTCGACAATAGTTTGGGAGAAACAAGGTTTTAAGAACAAGTCGTTCGAGGTAATCGACGTATCGTCAAATGAGAAATACGATGGAGGTTCTCTGACATCTCCCTCTTTATCTATTTTCAACGTAAACAACGACGACTCCGGATATTATCGATGTAGGGTCACTAACATTGATGGAACTACTACAAGTACATCAATACAGATCAGAGTAGGACATAAACGTTTGTTTAAAGGTGAGTATTGAAGAGTATTTCCAAAGGAATCCAAAAAGAGGTGTCTTCAAGGATTTTTAGCGAAATTCAAGGTAAAAATTGTAAGCAACGCAACATTAAAAATTAAAATTTTAACGTCAAATGTTGAAAGTAAACGTCTAAAGATTTTGAAATGAAACCGCTAACGTTTTACAACTTGTGTTATCGTTTTTTTCTTTTTTTAAAATATTTATTGCCGGACACTTTGAAAATTATATAATTTATTATACATTTTGGATATATATATATATATATATATATATATATATATATATATATATATATATATATATATATATATATATATATATATATATATATATATGTTTTACAGGATCTAGTTGTGACCAGCGGACATGTGGAGTCCTTAGGGAATGTTTGTATCAAAACAACCAACCCTTGTGTTCATTAGTTACATGGAAAGCAGCTTCTGCTGGTGTTGCTGGTGTTGTAGGGGCAATTTCCGCTGTAGTTGTTGTTATGGCTGTGATAAAGTCTCTGTCAACTACCAAGTACCAATTTAGCAAGTAAGGGTTAATACAATGATCAAACAATAGAAAATGAAGTTCGTGTCCTTCTAAAAACTGATTCTTCATTATTTCATTATTTCTAAGGTCTTCTTCCGAATTCAAACTAAGAAAATTCAAAGACTAAACAGAGCAAAACAATACGAACAAGAAGGAAATTCTACAGAACTAAAAGAACAGTGAGCCACGCATACCCAATTTGCAGTATGCAGGGTCATCGACCAGCACGTAGTGCACAATGGCTTCTTTATCAGATGAATTTAATCTTTTTTTTTCATAAAATATGAACATCGGGGTAATAAATCAAACCCAAGAAATAATCTAGTGAAAATCATTATTATTATCATTATATTATATTATATTATATTATATTATATTATATTATATATATATATACATCGCCCTTAACTATTTAGCTGGCGATTTTGATTTTGAAAATAAATTTATTTGATAACTATATGTACATGTAATATTTGAGACAGGATTTTTAAATTTCAACAAATATTCTTGAAGGCTTATAATTGTGGTCAGTTCGTCTATCTTTCTATTTTTCTTCCTCAAACTTCTCTTCAATCTTTACCAAAACTCGTGTTGTGTTTTCGAATTGGTGATGTCCTGTAGATATGCTTCAACGTTTCAGAATTGTCCTTTTCATAATTGGGACCCATTTTTGTTAAAAAAAATCTTTTTCATTACAACTTCTTTTTTTCTTCCAGTAATTTTTTGGAGTATTGGAATATAACTGTTGGTGTCCTGTTGATCTGTAATAAAAAAAATCAAAATTTTTAAGAGCCAATAGGGGTCGAAAACGATTTTTTTTCCTTCAAAAATCTGTTGAACTTTTTACAAGAAATCCTAAATTTTTTGCTTAAGATTTTAACTTAAAAATTTCACGCCAAAATTTCAAAGTGTTTTTCACGAACGCATTAGTAGAAGATTGAACTTAATATTTCATCTTCAACAAACTTGTTCCCTAGCAACGATGTCAATACGCTTTATAATCTTTTTTAAAAAGTCCAGAAGAATAAAAAAAATAAACCGAAGTTTTCAACATGTATGACAAAACAAAAAATATTGGCAACAAATATTGAGTACAATCAGTTATGAAGCAAGGGAGTTTCAAACATGTCACAATCAAAAGTTTGACGTGTAAAGAAGTGAAAGTAAGAGTAGGTTATACGAAAATCGTAAGAGTAACTGCCACCGTAAATATATTGTAGACTGTTTTATATGATTCTTCGATTATAATTGTGAAATGCTATAAAATTCTATTGCTGGGAACATAAAAAGGTCAATTAAAGATCAACGTTAGTTAATGTTCTATGTAACCACAGATTGTAAATTGCAAGCAAGGTCATTGTACCGACCATAGAATTTGCAAAAAAAGATTGTTGATAACTTATTTGTCATTAGCCTGCCTCTTTTTAGAAATTACTCGTACAAAGTACATGTATCTTCTTTTCCCTATTAGCCATCAGCTCAGTCGGTAGAGCGCTCGATCCCTGACCGGAAGGTCATAGGTTCGAATCACGGCTGCGACTGACCTAAGTCGATAAAAAATGGGTAGCAATTGTTCCTTCACCAAGCGCTCGAAACTTTGAAGTGAAAGTTGCGGGTCCTTCGGATGACACCTAAAAAACCGAGGCCCCGTGTCACGGTAGGTGTTGGCGCGATAAAGAATCCTCGCTGCTGAATGGCCCTTAAACCCCTGTCACTCCGGGACCGCGTCCTCACGGCGATCGCACGGCGTCCATAAAAAATGCAAAACGCCGAGATGAGCGCAGTAGAGTCTCCTACAGCGCTGTGACAACGCGGCGAGATCTCCACTTAACGCGGTAGGGTCGAGAAGGGTCTACTAGAACGCCAAGGGACGGCATGCACAAAGTACGCGCCGTGTGATCGCGGTCTGAGAAGAACGCAGTAGAAACTTAGTATGATCGCCGTAGCAGCGCGGTGAGATCTCTAACAACACAGTGGGAGCTCCGTACGCACGCGGTGAAGACGCACATGATCGCAGCATGAACGCAATGATAGTAGACTACGCTTCCACGGAGACCTCGCGGAGTCCTTGGAGATGTCACTGCGTTTCTGTCGCGCTTTTACGGCGCTTCTAACGATATTAATCGCCTTGTGATTTTTTGACTGCGATTACACAGCAACAACAAGGAGTTGTCACTGCGATCATTCCGCCCCCTTGGCGTATCTACCGCGTGCGTATGCGATCGCAATGCGCTTTCACGGCGTTGTTAGAGCGTTGTCAGCCAGCTCACAAATCAACAGCAATAGCATCATATTTGATCAGTAATAATTCTAATTTATTTGTTGCACTCCTGACCAGGAGCATGAAAGTAGAATTGGGAAGTAAAAATTACACCAGTGCTTGTTCTAGCTGTTGTCTCAGTGGAGTTGCGGTGGAATTACTTAAATTTTATAACAACTTTTCAGTGTGTGTTTTTTTTTTCACATTCATAATAAAATCAAAGAAAAGATAAAAACACATCTGAATTGATATAATTGAAAAAAGAAGGGTTTTAATACTAAAACTATCAATAATTTAGTTCTGAATTATTCAAATAGATCATTTTTAATTGAAGAATATTTCTTGGAATATTAAGTAGAAGTCTTTTCATCATGTAACTTGAATCTTTAAAAATAAAGTGTTAGATACACTGCTTCTGAATATATATCCATGGTAAAGAACGCATTGTGAACGCAGACAGCGCAGTGAGAACACCGTGAACGCGAGGTGACAGCTCCTAACACGCCGTGAAAGCTCCGCGGAAGCGCAGTCAATCGCGAAGAAATCCCCGTGGGAACGCAGTAGCACGTCGCGAGAACGCCGTAGAAACGCGTGGGTCGCTCTAGGGACGCCGTGACATCTTCACATTGTGAAAATTTCACAGAAATTTCTGCAATTTCCCTGCAATTCCACTGCGATTTTAAAAATTTAACAACGCCGTAATAACTCCGTGTGGACGCAGCTTGTCGTGACAGGGCCCTTCGTGCCGAGTAAGAGTCTAAATTTGAAGCCCTTCACCGGTATATGGTACGTCTCTGTATGTGTGAAAAATTCTTAAACGGGGCGTAAAACAATATACAATCAATCAATCTTTTCACTATTTTGGCGTTTTTCAAAAATGTCTATATAAAATAAAATACCTCTGACCTCATGCATAGTCAATTTCAGCTCTGATAATACTTTACGAATGGTCAACTTAAGGTATGATTCGAGATGCGCTCAGCATTAATATGGCTATTGATGTAATGTTACAATTGCTAGAATAATTTATGTGTGCATTTGAGGGTAGAGGTTCTCAACATTTCCTGCTAAATAGGGATATTCCCAGACATGCGTAGTAGCGCAGGGCGTTTGCTCTATCCTTGGAACTGCTCCATATTGAAAGCGGAGTAAATCGTTAATCGAATTTCAGCATGGTATTTTGATAGTGATGGCATTTTGTCAGCATTTTAATAAAATTTATAGTAAAGATGCCGTAAACTAATATGGAATAGGGCCATGTAGCTCACTATTGCATCATCGCACCATCTAAGTTTGAGTCAATAGTGCGATGACGTGATAATGCGATGCCATTGAAGCGATAGGGCTATGACGATTATGCGATGGCGTGACATCTCGATCACGATGGTGCGATGGCACGATAGAGCGATAGCGCGATGGTAAGATAGCGATGGAACAATGGTACAATGACGATGATGCGATACTTACTATAGCTTCATTGTTCTATGAACCATCGTCATCGCATTTTCGTGTCAAAGCATCATCATCATCGCACGATCGCTGCATGGCGTTATCGTTACCTACTACAGCGTCATCGTCATTGAACCATCAAGTCACTGTTCCATCGACCCAACAATCGATGCCCGATATTGTGATAGTGGACTAAATGGTCCTATCCGGATTCCATAGGAAACCAACTTTTATTCGCGTGCGAGAAATATCTGGCGTTTCGCCACCATGTTTTACTTGCGAATATTTCTCGCTGCGAATTATATATCTACTTCATTGTGCATTTATATAGAATATTTCCTCAGTCGCAAAACTTAGTTATCGCTGATAAGTTTAACTGACAAATCGTATGTAATCCAAAAAGGGTTATGAAGTTCACTACTGCATCATCACACCATCGAGATCTGGGTCGATAGTGCGATGACGCGATAATGCAATGACGATGAAGCAGTAGTGCGATGACTAAGAAGCAATGGTGTGATAATGCGATGACGATTGGGCGATTTCACGACCGGGCAATAGTGCTATGATACATTGGCGATGACGTCATGGTATGATGCGATGACGATAATGTAATTATCGATTTTCCTCCACCGAGCTATCGCATCATCGTCATCGCATTAGCGCACCACTGCATCACCATCATTTTTATACACATTCAAATATCAATCTTTTTAATAATGATATTTATAAATACAGGTCCGTAGGAAGCAATTTCACTTTGGGAAGCACGACCAAACATTTTAAGTTTGCAGTGGGGAAGGGTGGAGGGGATACTTCCAAGCAGAAAGTCCTTGACAAGCCAAAACAATTGGTCATCAGACGTTATGTTAGTTTTTTCTATGTTTGTTTTTATGCCCCCATAATCGAAGATTCAGGATATATAGTGTTTGCTCTGTCCGTCCGTCCGTCTGTCTGTCTGTTTGATTGTCTGCAAAAATTTTAACCTTTCCCATAACTTTTGATTGGTTGGATCTATGGGTTTTATATTTCGTATGTGTATTTCTTGTAACAAGACCTTTCTTTGGGTACAAACATATTTGACTTCTTGACCTTGAAATTTGACCCACTTTTTCCAAAAATTACCAAACTTTAACCTTGTCTATAACATTTCGACAGTAGGTGCTAGGGTGTTCATATTTCATATGTATATTCATTGTGACAAGATCTTGGATATGAATATTTTTTTACCTTTTGACCTTGACCCTAGAGTTTGATCCACTTTAAAATTTATAAAAACTTTAATTTTGGCCATAACTTTTGAACAGATGGTACTACTGTACTAGGGCTTTCTTTTTTCACATGTGTATTTCTTGTGACAAGACCTTCCATTGGATACCAACAATTTTGACCTTTGACCTTGAAATTTGACCTACTTTTGAAAAACTTTAACATTGGCTATGATTTTTTAACAGTTTGCGCTAGGACTTTTATATTTCACATGTGTATTTCTTGTGACAAGACCTTCCCCTGGGTTCCATTAATTTTGACCCTTTGATCTTGACATTTTACCTATTTTAAAAAACTTTAACCTTGGCCAAACAATTTGTACTTGGGCTATCATATTTCACAGATATATTTATTGAGAAAAGTCCTTTCTTTGGGTAACAACATTTTTGATCTCTTGACTTTGACCTTTGAGTTTGTCCTGCATTTGAGAAACTTAACTTTCGGCATAAGCTGCCATACGGGGGCATCAGTGTTTCACAAACACATCTTGTTCTTGTTATGTTTTCTAAAGTATACTATAGAAAACACCAAAACTCCAGAACTATATTTCAAGGAGGGGGGGGGGGGGTATTAGCACTAGTCAGATTATTTTCTTCCCGGTCGAAGAACGGTTATTTATTTTCATCATTTTCAAGGGCAGATTATTTTTTTCCAACCCCCATCCCCTTTAGAATCAAATGACTGCCCTCATGTTTGATGAAAAACTTATCTTCCATCAAAAGCCCCAGGTCTCAGAGGTTCTTTGCAGCCATATAAAGAGTTGATCTGCAGCCGCCAAATAAAATATGTCCTACCTGGTACTCTCGCTATTTCCTCAAATTTCTAGGGTTAGAAAGTGGAAATGAAAAACCAGTTTAAAATTGTGCTTAGCAAAAAGGAGATGGATGGCAAGTGACTATTGATATTTCCACACTGTCTGGGGTTAGGCTCATACTTTTTCCTTAATGATGGGTGAATCAAAACTAGCAAAACTACTTCATTTTCTAAAATAATATTTTATTTCTTAACAACAAAATACATTATGCAAGTATACTATATACAAAAAAAACACAAGGAATGAATCCTTATTTGTCAATAATAGATTGCGAAAAAATGAAAATGAAAATGATGAAAAAAGGGGGTATAAAGAAAAGTAATCTCTTTTATAGCATTCTTAAAGAAAGATAAAGTATGATATCAAAAGATCCTTGGTTTTACTTTAAAAGATCATTCTTAAAAGTTTGTGTCTCAAAATTTGTCGGAAACAGATTTTAAATGAACAATAAAAAAACATTTTTGCAAAACAACTTTTTAAAAAAAAAGAAGTAAATCTCAAACCCTATAAAGGTTAAAACTTAATTTAATTTTTTATTTATTAACCCAACTACATGTAAGTTATCAAAGAATCTTTTAAGATTGCAGGAACTCAATCGGTAAAGAAATGCCAGTCAATAAAAGGATATGCAAAAGTTTTGTTTATAATCATGGTGAACTTCGAGAATGTTTTTAAAATTATCCTTTTCAACAAAAAAATGATAAAAGACAAATAAAACTTTGCCAAATAAGAAAGCATCTGCGACGCATGCAGCAAATTTGTCGTATACATATGTCTATTTACAGTATATGTAAAGTAATATACACATGGCCCCTTAAAAAATCATAATTATAAGGGTAGTGTATAGCTCAGGTAGGACAAAATCCAAGCATAGTGACACTGTAATCATTGTGGTTTTATTCTTTTGTCGACCCATGCAGACATATCCTGTACGAAAAAGGAAAAATACATGTATAGCAACATTAATAGAGTATTTCACATTGCACATTATAATTGAGAAAAGGTTTAATCTAAGTGTGGCAAGGGGAACCAAAACAAGAGGCCCATGGGCCACATCGCTCATCTGAGCACTTTGGTAAGAGAAAAGAAGAAAATAGTTCAGTATTGAAAAGTTTAAATATATGTGGTCTACCCTACCCCAGGAGAGGCAGGGGAAAATGTCAAGATTTGAACTATCTTGAATCTACCCAAATGAAGATGCTTCCATATTTGTATGACTAATCGACTAATCATGGCTATGAAAGATTTTTACAGATTTTCTCCTATATCTTCCTATGTAAAAATTTGATCCTCTATTGTGGCCCGCCCAATCGGGGGTCATGATTTGAACTATATGTTACTTGAATCTATGCTATCTGAGGATGCTTCCAAATAAATATGAATAATCATTGCCTAGCTGTTCTTAAGAAGAATTCTTTTGAAGATTTTCCAATGTATTCGCATGTAAAAATTTGATCGCCTATTGTGGCCCCTCTCTAGCCCTGGGAAAGGGGGGGGGGCATGATATGAACAAACTTAAATCTACTCTATCTGAGAATGCTTCCATATAAATATGACTAATCATGACTTTGCTGTTCTTTAGAAGAAGATTTTTAAAGATTTTTCATATACATCTCTATGCAAATGTTTAATAGCCAATTGTGCCTATACCCTAGCCCTGGGAGTCATGATTTGAACAAATTTGAATTACTACTACTTTTCTAATGTATGCCATAAAATTTTCACTAATTCTTAATTACCTCCCCTTGAATGAGAGCATCATTTGAACAAACATAAATCTTCTTCAACCAAGGAAGCTCCCAGTTTTTAAGTCTTTTAAAAAAGTCTTGTGAGTTATTCTAACCATCATTTATGCATGTAAAAACAATATTTAACAACCAAAAAAAGGATTAATTCATTTTTACAAGACTTTGGCTCAAAAAGGGGGATGCCCTTCTAAATCCGCCAGTGCAAATATCCCATAAAACTAAATAAAATTGAGGTTAAAAAAATGGATACTGTATCAAAGAAATTAATGACCTTTCTGCGGTCTTTTCGTGCATTTTGCTTTAAACCTCTATTTCTAAAACAGGCAAAATACTGGAGTTTCAGTATGAAATATAATTGTATTTTTGTTTGTGTCAACAAAAAAGGAATCTTGACCTACCTCATTTACTTTTGAACTATTTTCAATTTTTCTACGATTTATATTATGTAAAAAAAAATTTCTGCATAATTTTTTTGCCATTTATTGGCATTTGTCTATTTCTTAATAAAATAGTATTAGTATCTCCTTTTGTAAGATATGTAAAGTACATCGGTGATTCTACTCACCAAAATCTGCCTCCTCTCTAGTAAACATAAAAAGAGGAATCTAGGTCTTGTTTCTTGGAGACTTTATGACGTCTCGAGCTCTGTTGTGGTATGTTACGGCGCATGGATCTGTGCTCAAAATTGACTCTAGCCAACCACTCCATCTGTAAGAGATTATCATCCTAAATAGCAGATAAATGCGACTTACAACCTAACAAGAAAAAAGGAAATAAAAAAAATGTTTCCCCCAAACTTTATACATCCTGTATGATTACAAAGTATATACATGTATTACATGTACGTTCGAACAATATGTGAGTGTGGTACTTACCTGGTGCGTAGGTTGAGGTATGGTAGGTAGCTCCCTACGCTCCTCAGACTTGTTGATGGCATGGGTCAACTCATACTAATAAAAAAGAAATATTCTTATAAGCATTTGTATAGCCATAAGAAATATAAGCCGTTATTTATGAATGGAAATTCACAGAAAGATGTGCGCATATTGACTATAACATGTATAGATATACATTTTGGTGTTTTGTGTTTGAATAATACCCGCATTCAGACTCTTACCCAGTCTTTAATGTGCTCTCTCCATGCATGAGCAGCAGAAGTAAAGACTTGTTTGCACTAGAGAGAAAATTTAGAGATTATAGAGAGCATTGACAGAAGAGAGAGAGAGAGAGAGAGAGAGAGAGAGAGAGAGAGAGAGAGAGAGGACTTACAGCTGATTTGGCCGCCAGGGCAAGCATCACCTCGTACCACTGACGACTGTCATCTGAAGAGACGTCTATACGGCGCTGGAATTAAAAGAAAAGGGTCCTTGAAAATTCTAAGGGATGCAAAATGTGTATTTTCACTCGTCCCATTTGCATCGCCAAATACATATCTATGACTTTTCATTAACATATAATAACAATTTAATCTACATTCTTATGTCCATGTTCCATTTTGATACTTATTGTTTTCGTAAAATTTTGGTAATTAATTTTACTGCTTGTAATTATAAAGTAAACAACTATATTGTATATGCAAGAATATAGCAGGCAAAGCTTAAAAAATTAAAAGATATTGCCATTTATGAATAGGTATGAGGTAAGCTAGCAGCAAGTGCTAGTTAGAGAAATGCAAGGGCGGATTTAGATGGAGGGGTTCAGACCCTTCCCACCATCCCTGGATTTTTTGGCTTTTTATTAAACTTTGCTGAAGACGATTTTTTCCTAACAAGATAGGACCCCCTTAAGATTTTGAAAAGAAAGACATACATTCACAGTGAGGACAGTTTTTTTTTCTCTCTATATGATAGGTACCCCCCCCCCCCCCAATGTGAGTCGTGTGGGCGATTGTTATTTTTATTCTTTTTATTAAAAATTCTTTTTTCTTCAAAAAATTGAGTGAACTTTTAACTTTTTTCCGACTGGAAATGGACCTCCCAATGAAAAAAAAAAAACTTTAAATGATTAATTTAATGAAAGTCAATGATTTTTTTTTAAATCCGTACATCAGTATAATATCAAAGGGGAATAACTCTAAACTCGATTGCTACTTAAATTAGTACACTCCCCTTGGGTGTACAAATCTTGCACTCGGCACACCTCGGCCGATTCGTACTTCATCATTTGATGAAGGTGACGGAATCAGCCGAGGTTTGCCGAATGCAAATCTTGAAGAACTAGACGTATAGACTGCAAACTGGAAAGTTTCAGCAACAATTTTCTTCTCAACGTCATGATTAAAAAAGTAAGTTTTTCAAATGGAATTGCCAGTTGAAAATCAGCGATATTCTGGGGTGAAATAAGGCATTATTAGTTTGTCTATCCCGCATTTCCTCCGGTTATTCTATAAATGATTGTTTTGCATTCTTTCCATCTTGAAAAATAAATCAAATTGATTATTCTTACTAATTTATTTTCAAATGAAGGTAAATATTTTATTCATTTGTTTATGCGTGACTGTGATTTTCACGAGATTATAATTATCATCATTATTATTATTATTTAAAATTTTACTGTCGATTGTCATTCATACGACGTGAACCCCATTCGTGCATTCCCCACCCCCCGTCCTCTTGGTTGAATATTGCATGCTATTTTCATAATCGCAAGAGAACAGTGCATGTTTTTCTTTAATTATTATTATTTTTCACTCGAGTGAATTCAAGAAAAATGTTTTGTGCATTTAACATGATAGAAATTAAGAAATATGCCAAAGTGATCTTATGCCCCCTCAAACGTTCAGGAAAACGGCCACGGTAGCCTAAAGGAAATTATGAAAACAAGCATTTAAGACCAATAATATTTTATTTCCATAAAAATTACCCTCTTAGACACACTCTTGCTCTTTCTCTCGGAAGATCTTTGTCTTTTCATAGTGATATTTGAGATTTTTGTCGCTCTGTGAAAAGCACGTCTACTCGCCACTGATCGAAGTGAGTAACTAACAACAGTAACCAAAACGCAACGCTACCTAGCAGTTACCAAGCATGATGTCATCACCAATGACAACGCTAAATATAGATGTGATCATTTGAAAAAAAAAAAGTTTTGAAAAATAATAAATTATGCTTACCTCTTTAATTTGGTCTTCCATATCTCTATAAAATTGGCTGTTAACAATATTATGGCAATATTCGTTTTAAAAGTCGGTCTTGTGACGTCATAGAGCGGGAAAGTTGCGACTAAATATCGAAATGTGGAAACAGCAAGTTATTAAATAAGGATAAAGAATTATACTTTAACATGTACATTTTGTACATGACTGATTTATGCTTTAAGATACATGTAAGAACTCAACTCATTTTATGTGGACTCAATCTAACAAGATTTTTCTGGGTCATCTCCAGTATATTAGAATTAGCTGTCTTTAATTTTTTTCCTTGCATTTTATAATTCCTTCCATAGCTCTTAATAAAGTTAAACGAGAAAAGATCTTTGTGTTTCACGCTATGCGAGAAAGCAACATTGAAATTTTAAATTAAAATTAAATTTAATTAAGGTTCATTATTCCTCTGCTCACTCAAATAAAATCTTTCCTTAACGCTTATGATCATCTAAAAGAAATTTAATTTATGATTAAAATGCACACAATTTCAGCATACAATTTTATGGAGAAATGTCATTTATAGCAGTTAGAGTTATCTCTCTTATCAGAGTATCAATGAACCTTGATTTTATGTTTTTGTGGTTATATATGTGTGTACATGTATACTGTTAAATTAATTTGATATACTTCAATACTTATTCAGTTTTATATATAGTTATTCCAAATATGAACCCTATTTTTTTCAAATAAATATATATAATCCATTTTTTTTTTCATTTCGTATGAATAGACTTCGTACACATACACTATTCATTGCGAAATATAATTCTCACAATTATTTGTGTAAATCTGAAAGCTGTACATGTATTAGAAGATGTATTATAACTTTATTTATTGATATTTCTTTTTAATTAATATCAATCAATATAGCTCATAATATCTTGAACCAAAACATATACTAAGTACACGTGTTGTATCAGACAGATTATGAAATATTACAATAATGCGGAATTATAGTGAAATTGCATAGAATTGCGCGGAATTGAGCGACTTGAAGTCCTCCTTTTTATAACGAAAGACTGTCACTTCGTGGCGTTTGTCACACTGAGTCACAACTAAGCACCCTGCTGGAGAATATGAGAGAGATTTAGGACAAAACAAACCATCTGTCGTCGTCAGTATCTCCCAAAGTCTGCCATTCTTAATCAAAATGTATATTGTGCTGTTGCATATAACAAGTGTATTTCCATCCGCATCTAAACACAATCCTTGTAAATTGAAGAAAGTTTCATTAAGAAGTTTGAAATCGTTCTGAGAGAACATTCGTAACAATTTCCCATCGAAATGAAATAATTTAATGCTGCTGTTTCCAGAATCAGACACAATTATTTGCTTACTTTGATCGACTGCCACGAAATATGGATGATCGAATTCTTTTAACCCTGAACCAAATTCTCCGAAAGAATGATGAGGGCTCCCTTCAGAATCTAGAATTGTAACAGAGTGTTTGAAAATATCTGTAACTATAAAAAATCCATCAAATGACACTGCTATACCATAAGGAAAATCGAACTCTCCGCCGCACAATTGTACCAACTGGCCATCTTCGGAAAACACTTTGACGCATGCGTTAACGCTGTCTGTAACCGCGAGATGATTCTGTGAAGTGACTGCTATACATAATGGGTAGTTAAATTGGTCCACTTTGCAGCCCTTTGATCCGAATTTTGATTTAAAGCTACCATTCTCATGAAAAATTTGAATTCGATGATTTTCTGTGTCCACTACGGCTATGTCGCCTACAGAAAAACAAAAAAAGTATAAATTATAAACTACTATTTAAAAATATCAGGAAAAATGTTAATTTCTGAAACCAATTTTTATCATTTCTTTCGAGTCTTCTGTTAAGTAGACATTAAAGTAAACTATGTATGTAAAATTAATATTTTCTCTTTATTTATCTTGTAAAAATCCGTTTTAAACCATTTAAAAAGGAAGAAAACAAGAGGCCCTGGGGCCATATCGCTCATCTGAGCACTTTGGCTATGAAAAAGCAGAAATCAGTTCAGTCTTGAAAAGTTTAAATATAAAAGTGTGTGTGTGAGGGGGGGAGGGGGGGGGGATTATGAGTTGAACTTACGGTACTTGAATCTTCACTTACATGTACTAAGGATGCTTTTGAATAAATATAACACAAAATGGTTGTTGTTGATTTTTCCTATGTATTCCTATGTAAAACTTTGTCCCCCAATCGTGGCCCCACCCTACCCCTAGGGGTCATGATTTGAACAAACTTGAATCTACACTACCTGAGGATGCTTGCATATAAATATGACCAATCATGGCTTTGCTGTTCTTGAGAAGAAGATTTTTTCTATGTATTCTTATGTAAAACATTGATCACCCACTGTGGCCCCACCCTACCCCCGGAGATCATGAAGTGAACAAACTTGAATCCACACTACCTCACAATGATTCCACATAAGTTTCATAATTTCAAGCACAGAGGTTCTTGAGAAGAAGATTTTTAAATGATGCCATTAATTTTTCACGAATTCATAATTACCTCCCCTTGGAAGAAGGCCAGGCCCTTCATTTGAACAAATTTGAATCCCCTTCACCCTAGGTTACTTTGTGCCAAGTTTAGCTGAAATTGGCCCAGTAGTTCTGGAGAAGAAGATGAAATTGTGAAAAGTTTACAGACAACAGACAAATTTTGATCAGAAAAGCTCACTTGAGCCTTTGGCTCAGGTGAGCTAAAAAGTATATAGTTCTGACATTTTTTGTATCAATTTAAAACCAAAAAAGAGGATTTTTCCTGAGAGAGAGAGAGAGAGAGTTAACGATAAAGATTGTTCACTCCTACACGTTTCTCATGTATTGTCTCTTCTTTCTAGTTTTTAATGGATTCCATAGCATGCCATAATTGTTCATCGATTTTCAGGCCTGTGTAAGATAATATGCTTTCGGAAAATCGCATTAAATGGAATATGAGTTCATTGCTCGTTACAAAAAATCGTTCGACATTTGATTTCGTGGCTGTTGAGTTGAACTAAGGTTAATTTGATCTTAAACATTTCTAATTTAGAAAATGGCAATTTTCGTCGTTAATTAAAATGATGATAATATTGAAGCAAATAGCGATATGGAATGAATGGAAAATTCAAAGCATTGTATATTTAAAAATGTAAACATTGTTTCCTGAATGCATCTCAAATACTCAAGGGAAAAAACCTTTTTACTTATAAATATAAGACTGAATAGATTCCTGCAAATGTACAAGGTCATGAATGATGAAATTGCAGAGAACTTCATATTTTTATATAAAAAGAATCGAAGCAATGTAATTTTAAAAATACCTGTCAGTGTGACAACTATCCCACAAGGACTGATGAACTGTCCTTTCCCGCGCCCTCTTTTTCCGATGTGTCTTATAACAGCTGTTTTCTTTGAGTCCATATTGTCTCCTGTATTCTGATTCAAGTGTCGATTGTCGCAAAAGTGATAACGTCATTTTCATCCATCTTTTGACGTCATTATTCATTCAATCTCCAATATTATTGTAAGGGTTTCTAAAAAATACAGAAAACAGATATCGAATAAAGATATGTAGATGAGCAAGAACTGAAGATTATGGATCAATATCTTATTATTGCAAAAAATCAGGAAAGACATCATCTATTTTTCTTCAGTACGAAAACTCACCCAGTGTATTGTTAGGCACATTCACGATCATATTAAACTTTGAATTTTTACTTCAGATACAGCATAAATACGCCTCTCTCTGATTAGACACAGTTGTTAATTCACAACCCTTGTTCAATTATTCGTAATCATGTGTATATCCTTTAAAATGCAATGGTTTTACGAGTTTCAGCTGGTGCATTTTGCTTGTGTATACCTTTTGATTGAATATATTTAGCAAATAATCATTGACCACTAAAAAATTTAAACGGAAATACCCAAAGAGTTTATTAATGCATAGTTCGAGTAAGCTGGAATTAAAACGAACACGCAGGCATTCGACATGAATTAGCTACATATTCTTTTTACTTTCTGTTTGCTTGTACCTAGAAATGTATCACCGAACAAATAGTTTAAAACAGGATACAACTGTAAAATTATTGATCATTCTCATCATAATATCATATAAGACAGTATTGAACAAGACTGGGGATCACCTACAGTAGCTGGCTATTTAAAGCATCTGTTTCTCAGCGTGACAATACTAATAAGCAACCCACTTTTTCGCAAGATCACATCTGCTAAATGAAATGTCCGACTAGACGACCACAAAACTGTAATTTTCCCTAGCAATAATGATAAAATCCTCCGAAACATAGAAGCTTCTCTGAAAAAACGGAAGGCTGTAATTGTTAGCTTACGTGATATCGCCTTAGCTTGATTGTGCTTATTGACGAAGCACCGAGTTAGACTTTTAGTGAAATTGACATCTGGGGGCTCAGAGGAACTATTTATTTTGAGACTTTAGCGGTCCAAAACTAAAATGCGAACGAAGCTAATCAATTTCCGTTTTTTTTCATGCAATGTCTGGAGAAGGTTCTAGAATGGGTGCTTTGTGGTTGTTTTGTGTGGTGGGGGAGTGAGATAAAAGATTGGTTACGGAGGTTGTTGTGTGTCCAGGCTGATTCTTTTTTTGACGAAGACAATTGAATAGAAAAAAAGACGCAGAAGCTAATCGACCTCTGGGGACCTACCAAAAGCGATTTGTTGCGTAGAATTGTACTCTATCATCCATGTATGAAAGAACTGAGACCACATATTGAATATTCACATGATGTACCATGGAGAAAGATATATACCAGTATATAATAATCAAAGCTCTTTCTAAAATTATGTTTTGGTGAAATAAAACTTGATTTACTTCATCATTTGTGTACATGGTTTAAAAACCAATATACCTTAAATAAATTATAACGATAATTATAAAATAAAGTTTAAGATTCGGAGAAAATGCAAATTATTTTCAACAACATGAGTGTAGTGTATAGCTGCCTACGTCCATTCATTGGATATTTTGTAATTTGATACAAGACATAGAAAAATTAACTGCATGTCAACCTAAAACGCAGTAAAAAGCAAAAACGAAACATTTCTGATTGAAATGGCTTTTTTTCCTTGTCCTCTCCCAGATTATTTTCTATGCATGATCCTGGAATTCCTTCGCAAAAAGCATAGGTATATGCATGTACAGAATGATGGCTAATATCATAGTGTTACTTTCTAAATGGAATGCATCAATTAGCATGAAATAAATTCCTTTCATGAAGAGCAGCAAATCGATTTTTTTTTAATCCAGAAAATTATTTTCTATATTAAAAGGTAGTAATGAATATAAGTTTTCAAATCGGGGGAAAAAGAACGGTGGTATTTATGGAGGAAAAAATGCCTGCAACCTTGAAAATTTAATAGGAAATCAATAACTAGGACAAAATAGTTCAGATTTGCTACATCACTCCGATCGTCTGATAAGATATTGTATAAAAATTTGTTATGCATGAAAGTATTCTTCATGTAAATTTTATAGCTGGATCAATATTTATTAGTATCAAGTAAGCTGACACAAGACATTAAGAAGACACGTGTGTTATGATTAATTCAATGGAACCATCCGTAGTGGGTCACTAGGGCTTTCGTTAACAAATTGACATAGATTTTTGTGGGTAATGAATAAGAATGGCTTTAACAGGCTGATTGAAGATATTTGATTATTCTCATAGAAGTTTTCACTTAAAGTTAGCCGCTATCGAAGAGTGATGTATAGTCTTATTTTCCCAAAATTCAAATCCACTTTTTGATGCTTTTTTTTTGTCCAGGAAGCACGTAGCTGCAATAATGTAGCCCTCTCCGATTTTTTTTAATCTGATATTTTCAGGAGAGGGCTACAATTCCACTGCATCTCCGTAATGGTGCAAATATATTTTTTAGATACGGGCGACTGCAGGCAAAATAAATTATTTTTGCATTCAACTTACTTCCAATAAGACGGAATTTTTATTCACTATCAACATCATACCCCTTTATACGCGAAAACCAAGTAAAATAAATCTCCGTGTTTCCAGTCGTTCTCCTCAGCAGCCATGTCAGTTCTCGAGTGATGTAATGAGACTTGCGCTTGAAATTTAGAATCACTTGATAATGTAAATGTCGGTGTCGATAAAAGTTTGTGTTGTATGATATCATAAATATCGATAAATAAAAGCATTCCATGTGATATTTTTTTCATATACAGTGATATTTATACTTTTAAAAAATAAGGGAAATCCATACAGATCCGCTCCCGTAGATCCCGAATTCTCATTGGTTGTCCCAAAATAAAATCGATCAAGGTCAGTAAACATGGCGGATAAATTCAAGTTGTGATGTTGACATACACGAAAAATAACCGATATACGGATTGTTCTGTATATTTTTGGATCAATTCATGTTCTGCATAACTACATTTTATGAGTTCAGGTAAGATATGTTAATAAAATACCCACTTACTGATAATTTGAGCCGAAATCTGTGCGGTAGTGAATCACTCCCGCACTTGCACCATTACGGAGATCCTAAGGAGTTGTAGCCCTCTCCCAAAAAAAAAAAAAAAAAAAAAAAAAAAAATCGGAGAGGGCTACATTATTGCAGCTAGGAAGCACGCAGTGACTCTAAAGATTTCATTGAGCTCAAAACTTTCAGGTTACCTTGACCCGGTCTGCCTTAAAGCTTGGCTGCTGTGAAAAATTTGCTTACTCCTATACCCTTTTTTAACTTTTCATGCGATGAGAATACTTTCGATTTTGAATGGGAGCCTAGTATAAAGAAGCTGACAATTCAAGATATATTTGATTTTAAGATTTAGGTGTTGTTACAATGTTGATTTATTTTTATCTTGTATATATATATATATTAGAAACAATATTTTTCGTATTTTCAACTTTAATATACCTTTTTGAACATTCTGATGCGCATTTGAGGACGAGAATTAGTGCAGTCAGATTTCATCTTTATTTCCATTTAATACACTCTAATTTTCTTAAACTTTTTTTTATAAACTTATAGCAAGGCACTGATTTGTAATAATATTGAAATGAAATTGCAATATTCTTTTCAATTTATCATTGTCGATTAACTTCAAATTGCTTTCTTAAACGCAATACTACGGGAGATTGTCAGAAATGTAAACTCGACACAATTTAGACTCTGGATCGAGTTATACGTGTATTTAGATCCCTGGCATTATACATGCATAGTCAATAAAACTCGGTATTATACTTCTATTAAGTACGTTTAATGTACACTGATGATGAATTCTCGTATTATGGTATTCATAAGGAGAAAACAATATCGGACTCATTCAATTCTCTTACATATGTATTTCTTTGTAGGATGAGAAATCGAGGGAATCATGTCTCTGTAATGAATGAATTTACATTCTTATGAAAATATCCGATATCACGTATCATACTTGCATTTAAAAGGGAACTTATTATATTCAGTATGCGTCCATTTGCTTAGTTATCTGAATAAGATATTCAGAGAACGATGACTCTTTATGATACCGAATATCGCATATTGCATTTTTTTTTTTTTGAAATGTAATAAAGCGATAATGTGGGACAATCTCTTGATAGCGTGTCCATATCATGAATCAAACTGGGAAAACGTGTAAATCCTGTTAAAATCACCAAAAATTCTAATACAAACACTACATATACTTTATTTCATATATAAAAAGTAGCCGTTCTTCTACTGAAAAACGGTTTATTTGCATGGAATCGATCCTCTTTCTTTATTTATTAATGAAAAATTACAAGCAACTCTACAATCCTTGAATTTTTTTTCCGTTGAACGAAAGGAAAGATTATTTGTAAATGTATTATATTTATAACGTACGATATTCGGTAGAAATTGATTTCTTAACATGTTAGCTAAGTTTTGATATTTTTGAATGTATATATTCCTGTATATTTAGCGATGTATAGCTGCTTTCCGCCAAAGCCTTAAGGCATTAAAAAGAATACACAGCCAAATGTAATACCTTTACAGTATATTCTTATGATAAGTGATAATCATTAATTATTCTTACATGAAAGCAAAGGGGTTCAAAATTTTTAAAATCTTTTGCAGTTATAATTTATTCCAATTTGTTCTACTTTTAATTAGAAACTTATTGAAAATTGTCAATTTTTTTAGTACGGTTGTTTGTAGATTAAGATTTTAAAACGATTTCGCTCCTTGAATTACATTAAATTGTACATTAAACAGCATTTAGGTTACCAAAAAAATTAGAAGCCTGCAAAATCACAGTAAAGTTCATGTTGCATGTCGAAGCGTGTGGTAAATGTCTAAATCCAAATTATAGCTCGGCCAGATTATCTAATTATGATGAAGTCCAAGAAAGATTAGTCGATGGCAGAGTTTTGCAGGCTGTACAGCAAAAAAATACCTGTCTTCAACAATAATAGGAGAAATCGGAAAAAACAAAATCTTTACACAGAATTCTATATTCAACTGTTTCGTTGATGCCATCACTACATAGTTTACTTGCTATTTATTGAATATACTCACTCTCATAATTGTTATATCTTTTAATATTGTATATATGTTTAGTTATAACTATATATTTACATTTCCAAATATTTATCCTTTAGATTCTTTGAAAATTAGAATACTGTTCTTTTTCTCATGAACTACCATGAATACCCCCACTGTGACGTCATGATACCGTACTTGACGTGTCAAGTTTCTTGTTTACATTTGCTCAACTCCTAACCAAACACAGTGAAAGAATAGGAGTTAACATAAGCATAACCAGTATTAATTTTGCATTTGAAATCTAGTTTTGGTGCAATGTAGAAAAAATAAATGTCAGGCATAGCATCGAAAGGGGAAATGGCGCATTATAAGAGGCAAAAAATACTTTAAGTTAAAAATATCTTTGATAAACCCATCAAAAAGTTTATTGGTGTAAGTGGGATTTTCTTTTACTCTAATGTATCAAAACGTTGGGAGTAGGACAACCAGACTTGCAATGACCATTTTCAAGCGAAAAAAAAAAATGTTCTTGGAAATGGAAGTGGGTGGACACCCCCTCCCTGATTCTATGTGCCTCAATGTTATGTTCATCTTGTCCACTCAAGTGAGAGATTTTTTAACTATATTGTATAAGAAAGAGGGGGTGGTTAAAAGACTTTCAATGAACATTTTCAAATTAGAAATTGCTAAAATTTACATTCACAAAAGGGGGAACAATCCCTCCCTCTTCTCCGATTCTTTGTGCCTGAATATTATGTTCACTTGAGTAGAATTCAGATGCAGGTGAAATAACTTTTCAGAATTGTTTTCAATCTATTTTTAGTTCAATGTAGGAAAAATAAATCCTTCTACACGTATTCACCTTGAAGGTCAATAAAATAGTCTGTCTTTAAATTTTATAAATTGAAAACATTAATCTACTTCAATATACACTGTATTGAAAATGTTTCCATATTGATTTGACAAATGTATCACTGTTTTAAAGTGGATTGAAAAATATTCCTCTTATATGTATGTATCCTATTCTCAGACGACCATGTTAACAGACTTGAATGTACATTTTACTGGGATTCTCCTGTACGTATTACTTCTATATACTTGAAAAGAAATTCCCATAGAGTAAACCACTGTTTATAAATAAAATTGAATAAAAGAAATTTTATGTCCTTCTTATGTTTGTGACGTCTGCTTTATATTTGGACGTTCTACTGACTACAGACGATAAAGACCAACTAACAACTAAATTGCCTGACAAACAGGATGGCTTCAGCCTTTTCTGTTGTCAATTTTCCTTATTTATGAATTAATATTCTGCAATCATTTGAATATAATGTTTACGTCTACAAACTTATTCGATATCCAAGAGCACGATTAATTTTTAAATGAAGGCAGGCTACTGACAGATACATGTAAGTTGATGTTACAGGAGTTTCAACAACCTCGTTTAAAGTCAGCATTTCGAAGATTCAATGGTGGTATCAATAACCCTGTCAACAAATATAACCTACAATTGAGTCAATTGTTTACATGGCCCTTGTTTTTATACTAAATTCGACAATGGAATGTCCCGTTTATCTGATTTATTCATAGCGCTCACGGCGGGTGTGAAGGGACAACAGGTGATGCTTACACTTTCTAGGCACCTGATCCCACCTCTGCAATTTTTGGGGGTCCTTTTTTATGCCCTGTTAACAAAATTGTTCTGCTTGTGGATATTTTAAAATCATCACTGTTCGTTATCTTCACCATTTTTTCATTAAGAAATATATATATCCACAATATGTCGTTCGCACGAGTTATTACGTCATTTTCGATACATTCTACCTCATTTGCACGACTTTTTATGTCATTCAAAATATACATATATATTACATTGCATAACTTTCCGTATTTATTTCTGAAAACTTATCTCATTCTTTTTTTTTCCCTTCATTTTTTTAAAAAATCCTACTCAAAGCATGCTGATTACTTTGGGAGACATGTTTACCAATGAAAAGCCAGAACATCCCGCTTGTCTGTTATTTAGCTATGAATGTCTACAATCAGTCAAATATCCAAATATGAAACAAATGGAAGACAGTCATAAAGGGAAATTACGTTAACAGTTATAACCAATAGCAGCCAGTTATAACCAATAGCAACCATTTTGCGATTGGTCAAAAAAGGGCATAAAGAAGAATATCAAACATTGAGGTTCAAACCTTGGCATCAATCACCCGTTATAAATTTTGTATCATCCACTCTGTTGGAAAGGGGGTCATTTTTCAACGGGGGTCATTTTTTTATAGGACACACGCATAAAAAGATGACCCCTAGGTCTCTTTTTCTACAAAAAAATATTTTTTTTCTACGGCTGGGGGGGGGGGGTCAGTTCTTGTCGTTGAAATATGACCCCCGGTCATTATTCTATGGGGGTCATTATTCGTCTTTACACCGGCGTGAAGCGTCGTACTTCATGTCCTCATGAACTCTCAAAAATTAAATTCATTTCTTAAATATAATCTGATGTGTCGTATAACGCAAAGAAATAAAGAACTTGAACTTGAATTTGAGCTGAATCAGACTAAAATTCTCAAAATTGTCTTTACTGTAATTTTTGATTCAATATTTGTACTCAAAGAATGAACGACATATTAAAATGATTTATAACTTTAAAAAAAAAAATCAATAATGAACATTTTTGAGCATTCCCGAATTTGTAATCAGTTAATGCAATTCCCCCCCAATTCTGTATATTCTGCTTAACTTAATCATTTTTATTTCACATAACTATTCTGATTTAACAATACAGAGTAAATAGCTGTCTGGCATGCTGGTATTATGTCTTTTATGTAAAGAGCTCTCACTACAGTACGAAAGAATATGGTCGATTTTTCCCATAGAAAGACACATTTCGCTATCCGCAATTCACATAGAACAAAGAGTCAAATACACCTGCTTTAAAGATGGTTTGAATCATAGAATTTTTTTCAATTAAAAATCCCCCACTTTTTCCACTTATTTAATGACTGCAAAATTGGCCAAGACCTAGTTTATTGCAGGAAAAACGTCAGCCTTACCTTTTAATTAAGCTATGTCTCTAATTAGCTTCTCTCTCAGTTCCTAGAGACCAAAGTAAAATTTAGTCAATTTGTTCTGCAGTACTTCCAGTCACAGACTAGTATAACACACTCGACATTCCATCAATGAGCCTTTTTTGTTGTTAGAGGAGCCAAATCGATAAATGTCATCCGGCTTTTAAAGATCTAATTGTGATCGTTTTTTGTTTTAGTGGTCTTTAATTCCTGCAATACAGCTCACCAATTTTTGTCGTGACTGAAACAGATGCCTTTCAATAGTTGGTCCAAAGTCAAAGTCAGTTATATGCAAGAACAATTGAGGGACGTATTACACCTTTTCAATCAGTCATTTGAAAAGTTCGCTCGGTGCTATACAATGGAAAACAAGCCTGGTTATGGATTGATGGAGGGAAAACAACACATTAGGAGAGTTAAGTCTACACAAGAAGCGTGATTTGTCATTGATGATGCATGAGTGATTGGAGCAATTCATCCATAATGACTAAGCACATTTGCAATAGAAATCTAACCATATATGGGCAATCTGGACAACGATATTCTGCTTATTAAATATAAAGCAATTTGAGTTGTTTTTTTTTAAATTGCCAATACAGCCCTAAAAAATTGAGTATCTTCTTCGTTATACATCAAGTATATATTTTCTCTTGAAGAGTTCTCATCTTTTTTTGTTTTGTTTTGTTTGTTTGTTTGTTTGTATTTTGTTTTAGCATTAATTGAAGTCTGCAAGCCTTCAAACTTCTATAAGTAATTGAAATAGATGTTAACGTGCAATAGTAAATATTAGGAATCAATAAAAATTATTTACTTTTAGTAGCAAAATTATTATTTATGGGGTCCCAATAGACCTCATATTGGTGAGGTATTCATCTTAAGGACATACGCAACGTAGTTTGAACTTTATTGTCTTTTTCCCTGGAGCTGAAGAGTTCCAATACTTAAAGGAACTGTGTGATACATTTTATTGTCTATATATGCTGTTGTACACTTCTTCTAAAACAAGTTTTGATAAACAAAACATCTACAATATATGTTTAGTAATTTTTGTATATTTTTCTTTAAATTATACAAAAAATTTCAACAATTGATATCTTTTCAAAACCCCTGGTAATGCATGCTGATTTTTTGTCTCCGAACATTTGATGGCACTATAATCTTAAATTAAGAATATCTTGAAAAATTATCAGTAGGTAAGGTACGTTGCGTATGTCCTTAATGTGAATACACATAGTTCGAGTGATAAACATTAGTATCAGTCTATTGGGGAAACCCCCTGTGTAGGTAATAAGTTTTGTTGGCTTTTTCGACGAAATTGATCAATTCCCCATGGCCCCGATTAGCGCCCAGGCTCTAGATAACAAGGAGAGGGATGTATGATTAGCCTGCATAATTTATAACAGAAAGAACTCAGAGAGTCGTAGATATTTTTTTTTATAATTAATTAATTTGAAAGAAATCGCATCTAGTCAACTGATCTGCACTGAATCGTGTTTAGAGAATGCAGTATTAATGGAATTGCAACGAAAAAGGATATAATTGGAATTTATTTGGTAGAGTTTGTTGCTTGACTGAATTTTCTATATTTTGGCGAAGAAATGCATTTTTTTTTTTAACGAGTAGATAATGTCGAGTAAGCGTGAAATTATATTTAGATAAAATATGTATAAAAAGAATTTCTTAGCTGAACATCTTCGGTGATTTTGCAACCTCCTCTCTCTCTCTCTCTCTCTCTCTCAATTGTATTTTTGTTGATAAAACGACAGTTAATTTACACACACAAGAGTTTTAGATATGATAATGGCGGAAAAAAGCAAATCTATTAGTTTCTGTGGAGGGACTAAGATTACTCAATGCTAGAATATTAAATAAAGTTTTACTCTTTGACGAAAACCTTTTTGAATCACTGGCGCCCATGGTAACTTGAGAGGTGGCAAACTAGTGCATGGCAAAAACTGATCTCATGTATTTTTCATATCGAAGAACCATAAATGCATCCATTTAACTCTTTCCTAATGCAATTGCTTTCCAGCATGCTTGCGATTGTTGAAATATGTAATAAAAGCAAAATGCATTTGCGTCGTTTCCAGTAACATGTACTTCGTTACGCAATAATACGTAGCGTCAAGGGTATAATTTTCAAAGTTTCGTGAATTGTAGTCACAAACTTAATATCTTTTGCATGTTTAAGAATATAAAATATATATTCTAAGTCAATGCATTTGTACGGAACCGTATTGCTGCCATGTAGTTAAACTGAAATAGTTTTTTGCTTTACCGTACGCAATTAGACACTAAGACGTACAAACGAGATACTTAGTCGTTCCTTTAGCATTATGCATAATTTCTTTTGGTTTGTGATTCCATTATAAATTCTCTTTGAGTGCATGTCATGAGACAATCTTGCCTCTTTGCTGTATTAATTAAGACAGTAAACGTACATTGTTTTTCCTTTAATAAAACAATCGAGAACTGTAAACATCTTAATCTTGAAGTAATGGTCTACGTTGCATGTTTTTGTCATGAAGTTTTGTACAATATCTCACCACGATTACAATGGTGCGTACATGTAGAAGTACAGCATGCAGTATATGTACATTTTACACTGTACTTATACTCCCCTAAATAGCCACATTCTTGCAGGACAAAATGACGTGCCATTATCGTTCAAGAGGAGGAGATATGCCATTTGTTATGCTTTAGCATAAATCATTTTAACATACTTTGGATTCACCGTTAAGAGAATATTCCAGCTACCATTTCCATTAGCAATTCATTTAGGGTTTCGTTTACCTTTGGTCACATAATGCAAAAGAGGTATCATTATCTTGTGTTTTATGGCTTTTTTTCTGTCATACTAGTCGGATCCTTTGACGTCATATCGTATATATTTGATATACCGATGGCATACTGCAATGACATAACAGTCGAGTTTTAACATTAGACATTATGCATTAAACAAGAGATCTCTGATGAGACCTAAGCGGCTGCTCTACTTGTTTGTTCTCATAGTGTCCAATGGAAGAGAAAAGTTTTTTTTTATTCTGTATGTTTTCTAAACTTGCGCGAGTTTAAATGACATCAAACCACAACTGAAGGAGAACTGTAGCATTTTGAAAGAATCTCACAGATTATACATAATTCTTCTTAGTAGTCATGGTAACACAATTCATCAAATTATCTGAACATCATAAAACTGATAAGGAACATTATGAGCCTTGATAAAGTCTAACAGTAAACTAAGTCTTCATGAAACCTGACCTTTACTGTAGGAGGAGTAGCGCTTTGAAAGAACTCCACACAAATAATTCTAGTTTTATTATAACCTTGGCAAAATTTTTCACAAAATTGTGAACTTGATGTACTACCTGTGTATACATATGAAATGAGACACTCTGACAGAGAGCTAAACAGACAGACAGAAAGAAAGTACTTTTATCATCGTATAAGTTTCTCAACCAGTAGTGCTACCGCGTCACTGGTAGAATCTGAAAATTGGATGGATTAATTTGAATTTGTTCAAGTTTTGGAGTAAGCTTAATCTGGAAACTGGATTAATTTTTAGAAATGCATGTAGAAAAAAATCATTAACAGAGTCAAAATGCCATTCTGATTGTCTACTAAAGTTCCTTAATTTCTACTTTTGGGGGAAACTTTTGATCAAACTGAAAATTCGCAGCCTATGAGAGTTTGAACAAAAAGGCACATACATATACTTCTGCACTAGTTTAAAACATCGTTTAACGAACCACTACAAAACCATCTGACCACTATAACATTAAATAACTCACTATTTACTTGTGGCCATCGTCAGTAAGAACTCGTTGTTATGTTTCACAATAGTCTCGTAAATGTACAAATTACAGATGTCTCATTAATGGTAAATTGATCTCTTGAGATGACTGTTTCTAGAGAATATGTCTACCGGTATATCATGGAAACAGAGATAGAAAGGATTTCAGGCACATGGTTGAAATTAGATGAAGCTAGTATACATGAAAGTACTGAGATCCTGCTTATACTGTGATATACCATACAAAAATATGCTTTTAATTAACCAGTAAACATTAATTCTGTCGTAATTTGTGAAGAACAGTTCAATGTTTGTTTAGCAGCACTTGGCGACAGCTAGACCTCTATTTATTTGCCTCAGTTATAATTGTCATTTTTTCCTTCATGAGATTTGCTATTAATAAAAGACGCCCGACTTATATAAATATAGTAATTCAATTTGATGCCGATGTCTAATATATATATATATATATAGTTATACAAGAGGCGTGTTGTGGGATATTTTGCGTATCTCAGACTCACGTTGTGGGATCCATAGGTGGTTTATGGGTCATCTATATTTTGACCCATAAACCATGTACTCTAAACTTCACACAAATGGTGAAAATGATATTATTATCATAAAAAACCAAAAAAAAATTTTTTTTGACCCACAAGGATATATAGAAAAATGTCCCACAACTCAAAATCTATTTTTAGAACAGTCGGTCTAAGTCCCTTGCTTTCAACATTTTGTGTATCTATAAATGTCAAGTGGAATGTCCCACAATACGGGTTAGCGATACACGCAATGCATTGTGGGAGAAAAATGGCGGGGTTGAGCAGGGGGAAGAGAGCTGTAAGTACAGTGTTTTTCTCATTAAACAGCAAGTAGAAGGGCGATTGAATATAAAGTTATAAACGAGGGACTGTTGAATTTGTTTGAACTTATGCACAATTGAATAAAAATGGTGGACGCCTCAGTCTGAAGCGTAAGGGAGCTTGCTTGCCAACCTTAAGAAAAGCACATGCTCCGATTCGGAATGCAAGTGGCATACATCATACATGGGGTACTAGTCAGCGAGTTAAGAAAATTTGAGCGCTTACATTACTTTTTCCTTAGTTTGAATACATGTTTACCGCTGATGTAAGAAAATAGTGAGATCATTAACCACAGAAGCGATACAGTCACTGTATCACTGCATTCGACATTTTCGCGGCAATTTTTTCCCGACGTTATAGCTTTTAACATATAAATTCAGTAAACAAATAAGAAAAGTAAAATTACGATTTTTTGCTCATTGATCTATGACTTTTGCACACATGACTTTGCTAGGGATGGATAAATGCAGATACAGTATAACTCGGTTATAACGAAGTCACTGGATATGCGAATTTACTTCGCTATACCCGAAATTCGTTATATCCGTATTAGGAATTCGTTAAATTTATATAGCTGGGGATCCAAGAAAACTTCGCTCTATCTGTGAATTCGCAATATCCGTGTTTGTACTTAACGAGTTTTACTGTACATATTTATGTCACAGCGATTTTTTTCTACCCATTGGGAAAGGGTCCGGTAC